GAGTTGAACTATCAAGGGTCAATATTGTTGTAGAGAATTGAACTATCAAGGGTCAATATTGTAGAGAGTTGAACTATCAAGGGTCAATATTGTAGAGAGTTGAACTATCAAGGGTCAATATTGTAGAGAGTTGAACTATCAAGGGTCAATATTGTAGAGAGTTGAACTATCAAGGGTCAATATTGTAGAGTTGAACTATCAAGGGTCAATATTGCAGAGAGTTGAACTATCAAGGGTCAATATTGTAGAGAGTTGAACTATCAAGGGTCAATATTGTAGACAGTTGAACTATCAAGGGTCAATATTGATGTAGAGAGTTAAAGCATGAAGGATAAATATTGTGATCAGAAAATTTCGAAGTCGGTATAGTTGTAGAGCGCTGAAATGCTAAATTTTGCTGAACCAGCTAGACTTGAAATGCACACAAGATAATATCGTAATCGATCTAGGCAAAAAAGGCTATATTATTATTGAGTATATTAAAACACACATGTGGTAATATCGCTACCAAACGTAGCACACACAAGGGTAATGTCATTACTAAGCGTAGCACTCAAAAGTGTAATATAATTACCGAGCGTTGCAACTAGACGTGTAATACAGTTACCTAGTGCAGCACACTCAAATTTAATAAAGTTACCGAGCATAGCTCGTAAACCTGTAAAATAGTTACCGAGCGTAGAAAATAAACGTGTAATATAGTTACCGAGCGTAGCACATAAACGTGTAATATAGCTCCCGAGCGTAGCACATAAACGCGTAATATAATTACCGAGCGTAGCAAATAAACGTGTAATATAGTTACCGAACATAGCACATAAACGTGTAATATAGTTACCGAGCGTAGCACATAAACGTGTAATATAGCTCCCGAGCGTAGCACATAAACGCGTAATATAATTACCGAGCGTAGCAAATAAACGTGTAATATAGTTACCGAACATAGCACATAAACGTGTAATATAGTTACCGAGCGTAGCACATAAACGCGTAATATAGTTACCGAGCGTAGCACATAAACGTGTAATATAGTTACCGAGCGTAGCACATAAACGTGTAATATAATTACCGAGCGTAGCACATAAACGTGTAATATAGTTACCGAGCGTAGCACATAAACGTGTAATATAGTTACCGAGCGTAGCACATAAACGTGTAATATAGTTACCGAGCGTAGCACATAAACGTGTAATATAGTTACCGAGCGTAGCACATAAACGTGTAATATAGCTCCCGAGCGTAGCACATAAACGCGTAATATAATTACCGAGCGTAGCAAATAAACGTGTAATATAGTTACCGAACATAGCACATAAACGTGTAATATAGTTACCGAGCGTAGCACATAAACGTGTAATATAATTACCGAGCGTAGCACATAAACGTGTAATATAATTACCGAGCGTAGCAAATAAACGTGTAATATAGTTACCGAACATAGCACATAAACGCGTAATATAGTTACCGAACGTAGCAAATAAACGTGTAATATAGTTACCGAACATAGCACATAAACGTGTAATATAATTACCGAGCGTAGAAAATAAATGTGTAATATAGTTACCTAGCGTAGCAAATAAACGTGTAATATAGTTACCGAACATAGCACATAAACGTGTAATATAGTTACCGAGCGTAGCACATAAACGTGTAATATAATTACCGAGCGTAGCAAATAAACGTGTAATATAGTTACCGAACATAGCACATAAACGTGTAATATAATTACCGAGCGTAGCAAATAAACGTGTAATATAGTTACCGAACATAGCACATAAACGTGTAATATAGCTACCGAGCGTAGCACATAAACGCGTAATATAGTTACCGAACGTAGCAAATAAACGTGTAATATAGCTACCAAGCGTAGCACATAAACGTGTAAAATAGTTACCAAGCGTAGAAAATAAACATGTAATATAGTTACCGAACGTAGCACATACACATGTAATATAGTTACCGAACGTAGCACATACACATGTAATATAGTTACCGAACGTAGCAAAAAACATGTAAAATAGTTAAAGAGCGCATCACATACACATGTAATATAGTTACTAAGCGTACCGAACTCTCAAACAAGCAATATAGAGAACAACACATATAATATGACCTGTCACATGCAGCCAATGTAAATTTAATGACGTGCCTTCATAGTTTTCGTTAGTTAGTTAGTTAGTTAGTTAGTTAGTTAGTTAGTTAGTTAGTTAGTTAGTTAGTTAGTTGCCCCTCAAAATACAGGAAATAGCGTTTCGGAAGGTCTGGATGCCCTAGGCCCCCTCGTAAGTTGGTAAGTAGATCTCACCCCTCCATGCAAAATTCCATGCCGCCGCCTCTGTAGATAAATGCAAATTGTGAAGCACATAAAAAAAGTAAAAGGTAAAAACTAAAATTCATCAACACTGTTTTATTTACATTTCCCAATATGCATTCGTAAAATACCGCGACGGTGATGTTCGTAAAGAAGCTGAAATTCCAACGGTATCTCGTGTATTCTTTTTGTTCGACTTGTAAATCCTACGTCGTCGTAATAGTGGAATTTTATCGTCTCCCCGTCTGGTGTCTCTAGAAACGGCCAGAAACCAAACACGTGAGTTTCTTCACATAAATTTAAGGCAGCACTCACCAAATAAAATCCTGGAAGGAAAAAAGGTCGAGTTACAAATTACTAGTGTCAGAAAAAAAATAGCATCGGAAACCCGCTGCATGATAAAGAGTGGTGGTCGTCTGCCGCGTCCTGTTCGATATAGGTCCCGTAGCGACGTCCACAACGTGTTATTTCTCAACATTCGAACACGCGCTTAACGACAAATTGCGTGCAATGCAACTCTGGTACAAATTAGCACGCCTTCTACAGTTTGTGTTACCTGTTGTCAGAATACCATGGACCCCTTGGGCTGCCCAGTATTTCGACACTTGAGTAAAATGATGGGGATGTCCAAACACTATTTCAGAATTCTCAGATTTGAAAGTTCTTCTAGCGTTGTAACAATCATCAAGGTACGGTCGATTTGCGTATGCAGGAACCCACAGCAAACCATTATATTCTATCATGTCGTTGTGAAATTGAAATTGATGCTCAAGACTTTTCAGAGCCATATATCTGGTGAAAAAATCATACAATAACATTATGATAGGACAATGGTTATACAGCCTGGTTATGGCATGGAATGTGCCAGGACTAAAACGTTTAGCACTTGTAAATACAAAATTAACATAACAGTGATGTACAATGTACGACAGTTGCATGTCACAAACACATCAACATGTCAGTGTGATTGAGTGCACTGAAATGAAAGCTGCAATAACAGAGTTGTATGTCCCAACAATTGGGTTGACATCGGTCATTAAGTGTTGGTTAATGACGCGGTTATCATTGGGTAACCACCACGGAGATTGGTTATATAAGGGATTGGGATTGATAAGTTGTCAGAGAGTTTGGTTAGTCACCACATAGGTTGGTTATTCATAAAAGAAATTGGATAGCCAACATAGAGGTTGGATACTCATTACGAATGTTGATTAGTTATCGTGAAGCTTGGTTACTAGTATTCATAAATACTGTTATTCATTGGAGATTCATTCAGATATAGTTATCACAGATTATCACTGGGTCACTGTATCATGCATACACGACTCGGGTTGATATCCGCAAATTTGTCTGGTGGGGTAATTAAAATATTTGCTACGACCGTTTATGGATAATATACAATTGGTAATGTTTTTGTGAATTCAGACAAATAATAATGTTCACGTGTACCAACAAGGTTGAGGGCGCTCAACTTCTCTACAGTTTTAATTGAATTCTATGAAAGACCCCTTGATGGATCTGTTGCTAACAACAACAAAATTGAATGTAAATTATTTACCTGTCATGTAACACTGATTTATTTATGGTTGTCAAGTTGGTTTTCTCACCAGCATCCCGCGAATATCGTTGTATTGGAGCCGCATTGCACCTAGTCTTGTAAACATGTGGTGGAAATTCATATACAACGCATTATTAACATGCATACACACATAATATAAGGTTATTACGAGGATACCTCAAAGTATGCACGAAGACAGTACAACGGGAGTATCGACCGAAGCGCACCTGAGGTCGATACGCGCCGTACTTTGATGTATCATCGTAATAACCTTATTATTTTACATCTTTTCCTTCGAAGGATACATTATGGGAATGCCGAAATATAAAATGTTTAGAGCAGAATCAGCGAACATCTTTGTGTGGAGCCCGGTCCACCCTGGTGGCAGCCATGTTTGTTTTTATTATTGGAGGACGCTTAAACGCGTAATCATTCCAACAATCACATTCACGATCGGTCGCTGGTAGCATAGTGGTTGTCGCATCAGACTCTTGATCGGTAGACCCAAGTTCAAATCCTACCTCAGGCTGAACATCAAAAACGTCGACCTTACCCTGGGTGAGTGTGCCACAGACTCAATGGGAAGGCCAATACCACTGGCCGAGATTCATTCACTAAATAGCCCCGTCACACCCTAACGTTTTGGTCAGCGTTGTCTGAACGTTTCAATCATCCAATTTCCTAGCGTTCTGGAACGAGGTAGACTCATCCAGCGTTCGATTAACGAGTGCCATAACGTATGACCAGCGTGTTCCTAACGCACAAGGAGCAGTGTAATGAGCGACCAAGTAAGATACCCTTGTAAATCATTTACGTGTGCTAGCGTGTCACTAGCGCGCGATGAACGACTTTTAAACGTTAAGTGAGCGTGTTGAGCGTGTATCTAACGTGTGAATAACAAACGACTATTTGACGTTAGTTGCACGCTTTATGTGCGCTAGGGGTACGTTCAGCGGTCGTTGACAGGTCGCTAGTGAGTTGTTCACTGCAAAGCGAGCGATTGGTAACAACTAAGTAATGCTAGAGCAACGACTGACTAACGATTGTCGAACGTTAGCAAAACGATCGAAGAACGTTATTTAACGTTTAACAGCGTTGAAAAATAAACGTTGAAGAACGCTGGTCTTAAATGAGAACTTTTGTACATGTTCAACAAATTTTTTTGGGATCAGCGTTCTCCGCCGATTCCCGACGATCAGCAACGATTACCGACGTTCACTAGCGTTCTCACGGCGCTCTTCTGGCGCTGTCCCAGCGACTTTGGGCGACTACCAACGTTTCCTCAAACGCCAGAAAACGCTAGCCAGAACGTTATGGTGTGACTGCCCCTTAACGAATGCGACTTTGGGGGAACCTTGGTTAAGGTCCGCAGGTGCTTGTGTTCGACCGAGCCTGGTTGACGCCACGATAGCGCATTAAATTGACATTTGATAGGAAGATGCCGCACATCCCTGTCATGTAGTCCCAAGCATGAATATGACTTCTGTGGCAAAGATGCACTATGTGTCAGCACTAGCACATACAAAAAAAAGTCAGGAGAGACAACAGTGACATTCAATGTCCAGAACTGTCGCCTGACACAAAAAATAACTTGAAAAAAAAATCACATCCACACTAATCATTATTGACTGATCATTATCAAGTATACTTTTACTCTGTAAATTGGGAACGCTCAAATATTGTTATTTCAGGTTATAGTGAAATAAATCCGTCTTATGCTGTTCCATTCACCTGAGAAATATGAATACTCTGGACCCCACCGGCTATATCATCGGGGAGACCGGGAATATACTATGGATAGTGGAGAGTTATTGGATAGGTAAACCGTCCCCGGCTAATATCTCACCTAAAAACGTATTCAGCCTTGTCGATTTCTGCGCCACATCCGCTGTCTTTTAGGATTCCACTATTTCCTATGACACTACATCGTGGTATCCGTTTTTGTGAATATGGAGACTTCTAAAACGAGAAACAAATTTTCCTTTCAAATATTACGCATCGAGTAATGCTCGGCACGAACATAAACAGACAAACAAAAAAACACTGGGACAGACATTACCTTTGGAAGTAAAGCGTGTATTTTCTCCGTGATGGCGGCTCGCCCTGGCCATGCTGTGAAGCGGAGGTCACTGCCTGGAGAGATATTATCTTGAGTTACTATTAAATGTACCCACGTCGTCAATCCCCTATCCAGTTCCATTCTACGGAAGAAGTACATAGTCTATAAGCCAAATCAGCTTTACGGTGACTGCTGCATTCCCGGCAGCAGAGATATCTTGTTGTCAACATGTAGATTACAACTAATTCCCTATCTTGTTACAAAGGTGGACTTGTCACTAAAATGTGTTAGCGTTTCAAGCAACCACACTGAAGCGCCCACAAATATATCAATTACAGTATAATAATATTTTCGTAGATGGTTAGATATTGCATTGATAATTTGTATTATGTTCTAAACCCTGGTAACCGCCGTTACCAGAGTGAAATTCTACTGCACTTCTGCAACACTTCCACGACTCTCCCATTGTTGTCCACCATGATTCCACTGCGAATCACATTCACCATGTTTCCACTGCGAATCACATTCACCATGATTCCACTGCGAATCACATTCACACATTCACCATGTTTTCACAATGATACTTCTACCTCACTGCCACTACATTTTCACTTCCCATTCTCGACGGGTCAACTGTGTTGCCACAACACTACGTAATTTCCCCCACTGCACTTACACCATGCATCACCATGCTTCCACTACACAATCACCACCATTCCATCACCACTTCCCTCATTTCCCTTCCACCACTTCTCTCACTTCGTTCCATCGAAATCACACAATATAAATAAACAATTGTTTTATTAATATATATTCAATTCGAGAAAGTATACAATTTAATTGTACGCTTTCGGGTCGAGTGTTATAACAACGATGTTACATGTGATTGTGATAATGTATACAGCTTGGGATCACATATGATTGATTTTTTAAGTTACAATATCAAAATATCTTATATCTTACAAATACTGTCTATTGGTGCAGCCAACTGGTTATATAATTAGTAATGCAATACTTTGAAGTAGACAAGTAAAGAAAATAATAAAGGCTGGAAACCTCATACCTCATAACATCGAGAGCCGTGCTGTTCTGTGTCCACGGTACTGAGACATTGTTGTAATATTCTTGTAACTTCTTAAGTGAAACTGTGTCTTCTGGTACAGTAGCTATTTACACCAAATATGAATAATATACGATCAGTAAATTACATGGTAAGCCACGTTATATTGCGTAATATTCTTGCAACCTCGCCGTGTACGCCGTGTTAAACTGTTACGCACACTCTCTCAACACGTTCGACTTTTACCACTCACTCAATTAGTCCAGTGTAAATAAAAAAAAATACACACTTCATTGAATACGGGTAATTATTACACGAACGCCAAATACGCTAGTTCACAATATAATACAGTTTATTATGAACACACCAATTACAAGATATTACTATAAGCATGTAAATTACGTTACATTGCTACAAACACGTCTCACGCAGATACATACAAACACTTTACATTGTTACAGACGCTTCGTATACGATAGATTGACACCTTGTGAACGTTGCCTTGTTACAGACGCGTCCAATACGATACATTGTTAAATACACACCATGTACGCTACATTATTAGATTCACAGACATTAGTATACATAGTTATACACACCTAATTGTTACAAATACGTTGTATACGTTACATTATTACAGGCGCAATCAACACAATTCATTGCTAGATACTCACCTAATACGTAACATTGTTACAAATACTTCACATACGTTACATTATTACAGGTGCACCCAACACATTGCATTGCTAGATACACACCAAATACGTTACAGTGTTACAAATACTTCGTATACGTTACATTATTACAGGTGTATCCAACACATTGCATCGCTAGTTACACACCAAATACGTTACAGTGTTACAAATACTTCGTATACGTTACATTATTACAGGTGCACCCAACACATTGCATTGCTAGATACACACCAATACGTTACATTGTTACAAATGCTTCGTATACGTTACATTATTACAGGCGCATCCAACATATTGCATCGCTAGATACACACCAAATACGTTACAGTGTTACAAATACTTCGTATACGTTACATTATTACAGGCGCACCCAACGCATTGCATTGCTAGATAGTACACAAAGTGTTACTTTTTTACAAACGCGTTCAAGAAGCTATACTAAAACAGACATTTACCATTAGTTATATTCATCGGAGATGTTGATACAGCCTGTCTGCTCCATTTTATCTTCTCTTTACTGTCACTACTCTCTTTGCTAGTAATATATCATAAATGTTATATGAGTAAGTGTTAAGAAGGATGTGAATGGGATTAAATATGAGCACGTTACTTATACATCATGGATAATGTTTCCCAAATTAGACCCAGAATAGGAATAGCAAATATTGGTACTAAGACGGTACCTTTCGACAATTTGTTTTAATTTTGTGTTATACCGGGAAAAGCACCTACGAAAGTTTCGAAATAACGGAACGTCACTTTTTTCACATCATGGCCGTCAAAATGTCATAACAAGGGAATACTATTTATAAACCTATTTACGAGCACGCCAGCATGGTATAATGTACGCAGTCACTGTGTATCTCAAATGGTAAAAAACACCTTCTTCATGTCGTAGTATATCCTATTTCAGTACAGGTTATCGCCTCAATATTGCATGAATGCATAGTACGCAGCTGTATAGCTCGCTGTTCTAAGTCGCCTACTCTCCTGAAAAATTGGGTGGGTATGTTTGTTCAAGGGATATACATCTTGAATTTGTGTTGCACTGATTCAAAGGGCGGTGGTCGCCGCGCAATGCACTGTTCGATATTGGACTCATAGCGACCTACACAACACGTGTAAATTACATTGTTTGTTAACATGAAATTCGTACACGCGACGACCACCGCCTTTTGATTTTGGACCCTCCGTCAATATATAACAATTTTATCACTTAACCCCTCCCCTGACTACCTGTGTGGATTCAGTGTCTAGTATTACCCTAGCCGCTCTTGACCTCTTAAACGAATAAACAACGACTTACACATTAACGTCCCGAACACCATATTGAAATCCAACGTCCCTGTCTCGCTGGAGTTCATTCGATTTCTCAACATTATGTTTGTGGTATGCGTACAGCATCGACAGACCATAAACTACGATAACGGAAACAGATAGCTGTAGTAGCCGCTTTATTCGCCACTGTGCCATTACGTATTCAAAGCCAGTTCAAGTTCACGTAATTAAACACAGTCACCAAACAGGTCATTCAAACTTAATGGTGCCTAAACACGACAGTCAGTTATTGGTCAGATTCACATCCAAACAGGTGTTTCTTAAATTATTGTTTGATACTATTTTGTTTACTCACGAAGAGAGATTATTGATTCAAATATAATCGTTGCACTTCACTACTCATCGCTTCTGCATATATCCTGAATTCTGATCCCGGTCTTACATTCAGTTAGTCCTTATAGATGTCATTTACGCCATTTTGTTTTCCTGTTCAGTATTACTTGAGTTAATTATTCACCGGCGTTATTCATTAACAGGGTTTATTCATTAACAGGGTGGTCAAGGCTGTAGATTGCGGTAGCGACATGGCCTCGCAACAGCGCCAACAACGTTGATATCTCTTAATCTTGACTTGAATTGATAGTGCACTTCAGTGTAGTAAACAAGTTGAAGGTAAAGTCTTATCGTAACACTAACATTAAAAAAGGCTAAGATTAAGGAGGAGAAATCCAAGAGCCCCTCATCCCTATGATAACCGGCACTTCCAGTACCATTTAAGTATCAGTCCTTTTAAGGATGTAATGTAGACGAAAACCTTAATTTTTGAATATTGTTGTTCCATACTCGACAGTGTAAACCGAATAAATAAATAAATAAATAAATAAATAAATAAATAAATAAATAAATTGACAATAGATATTCCCTTACAACAGTGGCATTACGGAACTATAACAGGGGATACACACTGTATGTAAAAGCCACAAATGCCTGATAATCGTGGCAAGCCTTGAGGGATAAAATTGTACGATTTCGTCGTAATTTGGCAAAGCGTCGTGCAGTTAGAAAATATATCCTTTGTCTGTATTGGGGCATGTAAAACGTTGTCTTTGTTGAACAAAATTGAATATTTGCGAACAAAGGTTCACTATTGGAAATACATTTAATATGGCCTAATGATGACAACCTCTCGAAGATATATAAAGTTTCTATCAAATATGCAATTGAAAGGCTGACTTAAAATGTAATATTTGGTTCTTACCAAATTGTTAACTGATATTCCCATAGCCAATTACTATGTAAGCGGACTTTTCTAATATAATTGGGGCTCAACCCGGTACCAGCACACATCAAATTTATTATGTTATTTTTGTTGTATTTCGTCTCTCATAACTAACACAGTATACACGGCATGACAATCTTCTGTTTTTTTGCTACTGAAATTGAATTACATATTAGTCATAACATTGTCGATTTAAAGAGGAGATGTAATGATGTATGACAATGCGATACTGTATATTTCAGATGCTTCAAATTGATGTCAACGATATGTCTTTGATTTTGAATGTATTTCTTCTTTATTTTGTGATTTACTGTGCTGTAGGCTTCTTAATTTCCATAACAATGATACAAATGATAGTTTGTTATTAGTATGTAGAATGGGGTCGTGTCTGTAACATCGTAATCGTTGAACTTTTAACCCTTGCAGCGCCAAAGTAAACTTTTACAGAATTTATACCTTTTTTTTTTCCTTTTTTTCAAATAACTTCAAGTTGATCACGATCAGCAAGTACCGTAATAGTATGTCTATCTTGTCAAACATAAACAACAGAATTTTAGAAAAATAAAAAAAAAAACATAAATTGGTTCAAAAAGTAGCTCTAAAATGTAAGTGGAAAAAATTCTGGGGTTCAAAAGGTTAATACCATAAAGTAAAAGTGTGATAAAATATACCATGTGATAAAGATTTCAATACAGCATGTATAGATCATAATTTTGTTTGAAGAAGTAAAGACAATCGGCATATTAGCTAATATTTATTCTCTGGATCGCTGTAAGCACGACATATTTTACATAAACGCACTTTGCTCACATCTAACAGATTATTTATCTGTGTTATATCCAGGGTTTCAGGATTTCTTGTTTATTTGGATTATAATAAATCATGAAAGCGAAAAATAATACAATATTAATAGTTGTGCGGACACAAGTTGAATATGAATTCTTCATATGAATCGACGTTATTTAGTTGTACTCTGTTGTATTATACCTTCTCAAAAATATGCAATATGAGAGTATAACCCGATCTGTTCCAAATAGGAGAAATATGATAACCGGCCTGGATATTGGCATAAACCGTTTAGCAACTTACCCTACTTTATTTTGATCTGTAAAACCAAAATTACTGGAGTCTCAGATAGCTTGTCGACCTAATCGTATCTTGTTATAGGGCTAGTACGTTAATTAAATATCAAATACACAAGTATTTAATACATATACACGTAACATTGGGAGAAATAAAATTAGTAACAACGCCTTAAAGATAAAATGCATTTTATATAATACATAGATTTGTTTATGGCTGCAAGTCGATATGGTTACATGAACCGCTTCCATTCCCAGTGGGCATTGCTTGCATATTAATTACATGAAATATGAACACCTCTGTGAGAGATGAAATAACATAAAAAGTAAGATTATTCATTTCACTCTGACGATAAATTCAACCACAACGAGCAAATGTTCACACTAACTCGAAATTCACACGGTAAACGTCCCTCGATAGTCGTAGACATGGAGTGTTATGTTTTATACTCGTGTTAATAAAATGATTAATATTCTCTTTCTGTACTAACTTATCTTCTACTAACAATGTTTTTTTTGTCTGTCGTCGTCGTAGTTGGGTGATGTAATCGCATATTAACCATCCAACAACATTTCATCCCCAAATACTAGAAAAAAGCCATGAGAGGGAATATATATTGTTGAAACCTTCAAGGCCAGTATTTTGTGTGAGTTAGCAATAGTGACACGCACAACAAAAGACAATGTAGAGACACTGGCACCGGTGTGAGATACTAAGCGCTTATTTAATGGTAAATGAAAGCTGAGTTCAATATCCTAGTTATAAGCCTTATATTTGTTATATTTCACTTCATTGTTCAACTTACTGATTAATTGAAACGAAACATAATAATTATCAAAAAAACCGCCCAACAAAATGAAAGTAATACACATTGTCTCTTCAAAATCGCGATAATTTCCATAAGAAAAACGTATGATACATTTATTTGCGTTGTTGTATTTCTTGAAAAGGATTTTGATTCAAATTCCATATACATCCTCTGAATACATTACATTATAATTAAAAAAAATCGATTTACATACTTAAATTTGCTTAAATGCTGCAAATAATTATAGAAGGTTATGTTGTGATCTACATGACGGTTTCCTGTCCTTCGATTAGATTGATTTTTGTAGCTGTGCAACAAGTACTGGAATAATAATAAACGTCCAAGCATTGTCACACGACAGAAATCGACTACAGAATAATACGTGTTTATTCGGCATACAAATTAAACTTGTATTTATACACACAAACTACTACCCGTAATCAAGCTACAACATTGGTATCGTTGCAACAATGTGCAATGGACGAAGTCCCGGCATAAAGTTGGAATCCTTGTTTCGCAAACCTGGCAATGCTTTCGAATATATGATAAACGATTACGTGTCTCGGTCAATGAATTCAACCACGTGACCCACAGCGGCCATACCTACAGCTCGGATGTTTTGACGATAACTTCCACAGTAGAACTAAGTAACCTAATAGCAGGTAACCGAAAAATAAAGCAGACAGCGCAATGACGTCACCGGTCACTTCACTCTGAGGAAAAACGAGAATAGTTGGACAAATTTTATAAATATCTATAATATTCACCCACTTCTGTGTCTTACAGCGTGCCACTGAGTTCCTGATGTTCGTCACGGTAACTTCTTTATTCGTCTGACATATTGCGCCCTCACCGATAGGAATTTAACTCAGTAATCAGTGAGGGCGCAGTGACAATTGCCCTTACACACCGGGAAATTATCTCATGATAAATCGTATAATTAAAGAACAAATGTGATTTTTTTGTGATATTCTGAGGCTTCTCTCTATAAACAACAAAACATAATATCTTTTGCGAGGTTATTGCTCTGAAAATCACTTACATTGAAGATCAATGCAATAACTGAGCACGTAATATTAATTGTTTTGTATCTTGACAAGAAACAATATGAAATATAAATTTATCTTGAAATAAAAACTGTCGTTGTCAAGGCAGCAGCAAGCACTTTAACTTCATTCGTTCAATGACATACTGAAAACCCGCAATGTGAATACCTTCTGTATTTCACGATAAACCATAGCGATAATCGACTCACCTGGCTATATCCTACACTATGAAGCACATTTTTCCCGGAAGTGACGCAGTTCGGTACCGTGTCTGTGCTGCAGTCAACCTCAGCCCGGTCTGTCCACTCATTTATATTCAATAAGCCAAATCCGTAATAAAACCAACTAGTGTATTTCAACCAAAACATGTAGGCAGGTATAGAACTACGGATAAAAACAAACGAGTCTATTGGGTCTGATAATATTATACTGCATGTTTTCCGTGTCACGCAACTTACGATCCATGTGAAAACTCGCCCTTCATTTTCATATTAACTTGTAAATAAACGCAGATCATAGTCAAACACTATAAAATAAATTATAAGTTATAATCCATTACAATACTAAAACAAACGACCTCGAACTTACGAAAGAAAACAACGCACAGAGGTCTTTAAGTTGAAATATAATGTTGCCTTTTTGCAGTGGTCTGGGGATGTTAATATGCTTCAATTTATTTAAAAAAATATGTATTACGGTGAACAGTAACTGTGTTCCCAACATGCGTCGAAGTTTGTGGATATAATCATCCTGGCCTACTTTTAACTCTGTCGTACAAGGAAGGGAATGTACGGCATGGGCCAACAGCTTACAGATTGGGAGCGGATTACAAACCCAATATACCCAATTTAAGTCTAACTATGAGCAGTAGTAAAAAAAAAAAAACATACTTAACTTACAATTTTTTTGTTTTAATCAGCAAATAAAATCTGTCTAATATTCTCAGTCTATAATAGACTTATTGCTAATAGAGCATTCAGTGTAGTAATGTCTTGCGCAATGGTTTCATGATTGTGACCTCACACATTTCCCAGCATGCTAATCGGTCATGCGCAGTTCTTGCATTCATGCTGTCGCCATACTTACTCTGGTTGAATAAAAATCCCTCCAACTATAATCATGGGTAGCAGGATAGACTGTGATATAGACAAAACTATGGTGATGTTTTCACTAGTCATCGATACAAAAATGCCTAATGAGAAAAATAAAAGAAAAAAAAAAAAACATAGAGAAAATGTACTTACTTGTGTACAATGTTATGTAAAATCAGCAATATGTATTAATTTGACTTACATTCAACAATACGATATGTATACACATATTGAGAACAAACAAATGTGTGTACGGTGTTGGAGAATACCATTTTTTCAGATGCATATACTTACGTTGTATTAATAAGTTGTATTATTTGTTATCGAAAATATAACTTCGGTTATGTTACCGGTATCATCGAATTATGATTTTTTTTTGTCGCGAATTTTCAAGATTTGCTTGGAAAAATGCTGAAATTCGTAGAGTGTGTGGTGTCGTTGTTTGAGGTCTTGTTTAATTTTTGTTTAAATAATCGGTCACTTGTTTTACTCATATCATGTTTGTTTATTGCGTATCTGGGCGCCATATATAATTTCTATAAATCCAATCAGGATCGTAGTTGCGTTCGACGAAATCACAGCTGTACACTTTAATGAGCCAATCGTTTCGTTCGTTACATGTACCAAATAAAAATGTTACATCTCTTGAGCACACATGAAGTAGCCGTATTCGCAAATGGTTGCCGCGATCTCGTTGGGAGCGAGAGACCCACGAAACTTGTTTTGCCCGCCAGAATATTGTTCCATTCTCTACCGGCAAGTGACCGCGTCCACTGCTCCTCTGGTGATGGCAATCATATTATTTGGAAGTTTGCACGCGATAGCAATAGCAAAAAGGTTCATTTTCACCAAGTGTTAAATATTACGGTTTTTAAATAACGGTTTATGAGACCAAACAGAAACAACAATAAATGTTAGAACTATAACTACACATTATTTGCTATACAATGCAGCTCAATTAGCTAATATATAATGCCATATACCTTATAACCATATATCGTTTACTCTATAATGCTAGCAGATATTTCATTTTAACAGTAATTTCTTGATTCATCGTTTATGTAATTATGTGAATGCATGTGTAAATACTATTTTATTCTTATTTCACGATGCATACCAAAAGCAAATCCAACTCCAGAAGTGATGATAACTATAGCGCAACATCCCATGAAACGACCAAAATCGGGATTCAAACCTGTAATTTGAAAAAAGAAAATAGGAAATTTAATAAATTTGAAAAAAAAATCAACAACGTCGTACTGGTACTGAAAGAATGTAATACCTACAATGTAAGATGAAACGTTGCTCACTTACCCACCATGTAGTATGAAACAGCAACATACACTGTTTTTATCAACAAAATTGGGGGAATCTGGAGGGAATGAATATTCAAAAAAACTTTAGTTGTTGTGCACTAAATATAACTGTTTTTTACACATAGAGCTGATATGTGATGCAATGCAATGCAATGTGATGTGATGTGATATGTTATGCAATATGATATACTGCGATGTGACGTGATGCAAAGTGATATGTAATCCATTCTATATAATGAGATCGCGGCGAAGAAATGAGATATGATGTGATGCGGTGCTACGTGATGAGCGTGTGCGAGTATGTAATGTAATGCGGTGCGATGCAGTGCTCTACGATGTGACAAGGTGAGATGCTATGCGGTATGATATGATACGATAATGCGAACTTACCTCACTCAGGACTCTTGAAATAAAGTATGTAGCTGCATTATACATTCCGTTGTGGTGTTCACGAAAAAACACCGGTACTTCCATTGGAATGATCTAAATATAAAAAAATTCTTACATCAAACTGGAATTCAGATCCAAGTTGACAATCATAAATATAGTTAAAAGTATAGTAAATGGAATTCTTGCTATTGCCAATACGTCAAAAATACCCGGATGTAGCGTTTTTACTGAAGGATTGTGTTACTTCCGGGATTCACCCACTTCCGGTGCGTGTTTGCGTGTTGGCTTGATACGGCGACGCTGCATATGTGATTTCTGAGAGACACTCTTTTTACACTGATACGCCGAAATATTCATATCACCTGAAACGTGGTAATTGAAATCGCAACATAATTGATACTTCAGCTTAAAATTGCACTCTACCTGTACAACAGAGAACACAGTTTCTGAAGCAAGAAGAATCAACATTAGAGCAAGATATCCTGATATATTCTGAACGGTTCCTTTGTTTTTCTGTACCAAGTAGCACAGACCGAAGAAAAGACCAGCTATGATATGAGATGGTAGCCGGGTTTTCAACGATGCTTGGTTTCGAACCACCGAAACACAACTGCGATACAAGAGTAGCTTGAACTGTGTCCACCAAGTTGCCTTGTACCTGGTCGTTGGAAAAAAGCAGCGTATAGTACTAGTATCAGTTCATACACGCGTGAAAATCGCACGGTGTGTGTATAGATATACTAATATGAGTAGCCCGAGCGCAGGAATAGTCAGAAAGGTAAAGATCGCCAGAGACACGCTAATGTGTTTCAAATCCGCTCTTAGTGTTGTTGTCAAGCCATCTTTGTCTGCCGATCCTTTCCCTCTGCCTGTACTGAGGCTTATATGACGTCATATGTCTTCGTATAGTCGATATAATTGAATGGGTAATACGGTTAACATATTGATGTTCGTTTGATTACTTACATAGTTAAAACAGCTTTGATGTCAGTTTCGTCTTCACACGGTAATTCATTGATGCGTAACTGCAATACTCTAGTATCAAAATCTGTTTTCTGTTTAGAATCCTCATAAGCATCGCAGATGGTCTGAAAATCAGTCCAAACTGTTAGTTGTTTATAATATTAAATTTACATTTTTTATCAAAATGGTTTTGGAATAATTTCTGGAATTAGGAAAAAATTACCAGAACGCGTACGAAACTAAAGTTCAGTTACTTTTAAAAGTTTTACTTGAAACCTGTAACTTTAACTTTGATGAGTGTGATATCAACCCAATACTATCGTGATGTTTAAAAAAGCAGAAGGGTCTACCATGTAGTGCACGAGAGTGTAGCGTATCAATCAAATTGGAATAATAAATTGGTAGTAATATATTTGTAAAATATAATATTGAATTACATTTTCCCCCGATTTTCACCATTTTTGTTTTGTTATTGAAGACATAATTCACCTTAAATCTCTGTTTACTGCTTTCTTCTTGGTCGGGAATAACGGAGAGAAGCAAAATAAAAAAATCCGGTGGTGAAAATGTATAGGGACACAGAAAGCCAATATCTGCAAAGTACTGAGTTGCCCGGACTGTGGGACCGAAATAAGCACATCGTCCCTCCACCAACAGGAATATACTGTAATATAAACGAACATACTGTACCGTCAATGATAATAACGTATGTACCTCGTGTTTTTCTCTTGTCACATGGCATTTAAAAAACACGACTTACAGGAAGATTTATCCAGGTGGCAACTCACATTCATAACGCAACTTACCAAATCACTGTGACGCATGCGCATTCGTGTAACTTATAACGTCACCCACAATGTGTTGCCATTTCAATGATTAATAAAACAAAAGAAAAAAAAAAATGATTTTTTTAATTCGCCGTTAATTCGTTATCATAAATTTTGATGTGATTGTTTAACATCTGTTCTTACTGGAAAATAGTCTAGTATGTGTGTTGTGCTTTTCCGTGCTGATTATTGGTGGACACAGTATTCATAGTAATATCAATATTTGTGTGATCGATCATAATTTTACAAGCAAAAACCGATACAAAATTGTTGTCCCTCAGAAAGTCAGTTTTCAGTTTCAACTACAAATATTTTGTTTATTCAGTCACATTTAATTGCCACTGACACGATATGCTTTACCTGTCACATAAATCGTACACTGCTGATGGCGGTTGGTGAATTGTTGTAATTATAGTCTTTCCCTGTGCAGCAAGGCCTTTCAATGCCTTCATCACCTCCCCAGCCATAAATGAGTCCAGTCCACACGTTGGTTCGTCACACAGCATCAGCGAGGGGTCAGTCAATAACTAAAACAAACAACAACATCACCATAATTATGAAGGTGTACGCCAAGATAATACAATACAGTTGGTTCTCAAAATATGGGTAAAATAACTCGAGGTCGTTGCCTTTACCTCTGCAGCGAATGACAGTCGCTTTTTCTCCCCGCCAGAAAGTTGACTGATTTTCTCCTCCGAACACTCCCCAAGTCCAAGCTGTATAAGTGCAGTATTAATTTTTTCAACGCGTAGTTTCGGCGAAGTATCTCTGTCCATTCGCAAAATAGCCTGTAGGGTAATACGCCAATAAATCAATCATTACATTAATGATCCAAGCAATCAATTAATCGACAGATCCACAGATAGTTAGTTAGATAAATAAATAAGTAAAAAATAAGTAAATAAATAAAAAAAAACAAAAAAAAAGACGGTTAAATAAATAAAACGTACGTGAAAATTAAGGTGTTCTCTAGCAGTTATCGATGGTATAAACAGGTCAGTTTGTTCTACGTATGCCATATTTCTTTTGCTAAACTTTTCCGTAACTGGTGAACCATTGGCCAATACAAGTCCCTCTACGAGTAGGTTGCCTTTGAGATGCGGTCTGCCTGACAATGTGTTCAACAAAGTCGTTTTGCCTGACCCACTGTCGATCAAAAATCAACATACATTTCCTTGTTAAAATGAGACCTTCCAAAAAATCATTGGGATTCTATTAAAAATTATCATTGGAGTCCTAGAAATGGAACATGTGCTTACCTGGCTCCCATTATCGCTATAATCTTCCCTGGCTCAGCCAACCCAGAAACTGAGGATAAATAATTTAAGATAGAGTAAGTGTAGTGACAGGTCAGTCAAAACGTTCATTACAAAAAACACGATTTACTTCCGATTGGGCGTGCCCAAAAGCTATTAGATTGAGTTATGTTTCAGTATATACAATATATGTAATTATATTTCCATATTACAATAATCTAAATGATGCGTTGTTCACCCGGGGCTGTTTGCATAGAAATATCACAGATTGTGTGTGATAAATCGTGATACATTCGACTCTGGAATAGGGTTACATATGTTATTGTAGGTATATGCCTTTACTGGGGTTCAAAGATTGTGGTAGCAATGACCGCGTAGTTTTGATCCCATTTGACTCGCATGCATATACTTTGCCATTGTGATACTCAATCAAAGGGATATCATCAACAGATCTTGTATTAATTTACACGTTATTAAATAGTATTTACATATGTAATTAGCAGCTACATATTCAAATACTCATGATCATTGCATTTACACAGTGCCGTGCATAGGGAAATCTTGTAGATGAAAACAGCTGAAATCCGTACGTTACCTCCATGCAACACCGTCATTGGTTTTGGTTCTGGAATGTCTTTCACTCGGAAACGTTTCAGTTTGTCGAACCAACGCTCTGACGGTGGAAGTGCCGTGGCCTGCACATCTAACCACGTCAACATGTACTGATCATTTTGTTTGTGCCATTTGTGGAATTCTGAAACTGGTGTCTATGAAGTCGTAAATTAATATATTAAATTGCGCACTGCGTCGAAAATGTAAACAAGTTAGTCCAGACATGTACTATTGAAATACTATGCGTGTTTTATTGTGTGTATATGTGTAACCTGGAAAATCAGTTTATTTTCTAGTTTCCTAATAGTGTGGAATCGGTAAATCTATTTCGAGACAATATAACAATTCAAAATGGCGCCCACAGATTCACAAAATTCACGTAAGTGCCCCGTATAAAATGAGTTTTTTTATGGACCGTCATCCGATAACAGCACAGGTGATAAATGATTGTTTTCCTAATGGTCTCACACCTTTCGGAGGGAAAAATTGAAGAATTGTATGCTATAACATTAAATGATATCATTTATTTGTATTTTGAGTAAAATATATTTATCTGTATCCAATAATATCACAGCATTATCTAAAGTCCCGAACATCTATTATTTTGATTATGTAAAAACAATACAAATTATTTTGGTATAAACCTACTTACCAACTCAAGATCCCAAAAATGCTTGATTTCCGTCATCGAAGCCATCGTGTCACTCAGATATCACTCAGAACACACGATATCTGTCGGAATATTTTTACTGCTCTATAAATAGAGTTGTAAAAATAATCGCAACATAAGGGCTGATCTATTATGCGCTCCAGATTGTCCTTTTCATATGCAAATTACTAAACATGAAAAACAGACCTGGAACGGGACTCGCTGCGCACAATGAGTTGAAATTTGTAAAAAAATACCGTATATTATTTATTAAACCCTTGATGATTTTTGATCAGTGTCGAAATTTTGATGAGAGATTTAATAGACTGAGAGTTCAGTGAATCGTAAATTTTATAAATAACATGAAATGCTGATTACGGAAAATATTAATATATTTGACTATATTGCATAATTATTGTTAAATCACAACCTGTCGGCTCAATTCCTAGTTCTCCGATCGCAGTGAACTTGAAATATGTATACTGTAAAGCGAGTTGGCGCCATTCAGCGGTTAGAAAAACAAAACGCACGGAGATTACGTGGATTGACTAGCTAGCGATGGTTTTTACTTTTTACACACAGACTGAACTCTATAAAAAATAACATGAAATATAATGTGCAATTTCGAAGGTTTTATTGTACCCCGTCACGATTTCAACAATCGGGACGAACATATAACTCCAAAAGTAGCTTTCAAACAGTCTACTTGGTATGCAAGTAAACATTGATAAACAGTATTATATATAATTTTCTTAATAACCAAAGTTGCCATGCCTCGTCCTGATCGATATGAGCCCTGAACACAGCGTATGCAACGCGTATAATACATTGTTTGCTAACCTGAAATTCTAACAATCGCTGCACGATGACTTTCCTGCTTCATTTTCTTATATTTCGTATAACAACAACAAAGCAATACGTATATTTCACAACAAGAATGTGTTTTCGTGTGGTTAAACTATAAATTATATGCATTTATGTATTATGATTTGAACGCCGTGATGTTTCTTTCACAGTCTTACATTTTGGCGAATGGAAATAGCCATGTCATTCAAGTTGAACGTGTGCTCTATTCCGTGCATGTATCCTTGATCGATGAGGGCGTAATACCACGTCAATCAATAACTCGCATCGTGCAAAGGTCGCATATGACACGAGACGACGACGCCGAAGAATTTTCAGGTAAGCCAGAGTCGTTCCACTATATCGACACGATCAGTAAGTTAGTCTTTATTTTATAGTCGATCAGTCAGTCCGGACCACATTTTGACAAAGTCATGTCTTGTCGTGTTTAATGCCCATATTGATGCGGCCTCACCAGCAACAATAATAACGGGTCACACATATATGTATATATACATAGACCGATACCACTCACAATGTCGCGTATGACGTCATACGATGTAGGTATTTTAACAGCTGTGAAGCATAAGATAACCTTCGAGGCTGTTGCGCGTTAGAAACTTACACTTGCCGGCACTATATCAAAATTACTTAACAATAAGCCCGCGGAAGTGGTCGCTATTTTCAGAGTTGCTACACAAAGTCATATGATCGCTTTTAATTTGCAGGTAGCAAGACTGTGAAAAAAGTGCTTTTGACGAGTTACACAAAGAGTAACAAATAATCTCACGCAAATTTGGCAATTATGAGTGATCAGTTATTGTTGTTGAGCGTGTGAAACGAGTGAAGTGGTAAATTAATGCATGCGAAAGTACTGAAATCGACACGGTCAAAAATCGTGTTATATTTATTACATGAATCTCGTGGAATATTACATGGCATACATGGCTTTCTAGTGGTGGGTTACCTGGACGAACACACACATCATTCGTTCAACCCTTTACGTTTCGAGTATGGTTTCTGAGTGCGACTCATATCACATGGGATACAACAAATATGTCCTGATGTTTGACGAAAACATGCGTGTATAAGCATACTGTACTCGTATGTTCGTAATCGTTCACAATTGTTTCAAATTCGCTGCTAGAATTGTTGACGTCTAACGAGATGTGTTCATGGTAGCCTGATGACTCGGAGGTCGCGTGAGTTGCGCCCTCCGCGGTGCTACAAACCTAACACAGTGAGGTCTGATGCCGTTCGGCCGGTGAGGGCGTACTCACACCTACATATCAGGCTATGTTTGTGCACGGTTGTTTGTGAAAGTCACACAACAACATGATCGCCGTCGCCACCCACTGTAACAGACATAGAGTAACGACGCGTTCAAAATTACCGGACCTTTTTTGGTGACACACTTAGGAATATAAAATATCAACTTTCGTGAAAAGAGTTAGGACAAATCGATTGTATCAAAAGACGTACTTAGCATACTATGTAATTGTTATCGATATTGATAATAAAATTTTGAAAAATTTGCATATCATGTTTAACATTTCCGACAGAAAAAAAGTGGAGTTCAGCAAGATATGGTAACGTCAGAAGTACGTTTAGAGTTACACAATTGTCCCGGCCCGCCGTAAAGCACAGCTTTCTAACCCCCCCCCTGCTCCAAATCGTACAAGTCCAGGAAAGTCTTATTCTTGCTTGAGAAGTCTGATCCTCAGATAACACGGTGACATCGTGTGGAATTGCTCGAAGCAAAAGTAATATCGTCCAGTAATGTTGACGTCCCAGTAAAATGCGTCTCGCAATAGTTTTAGACGTGAAATAAGGCTAAACAAACCAAATATTCTGTCATTTATTATATTGTGATACAGTATATCTAATTTATGTGATTGTTTTATACTTTTGATTAATAGAATGAGTGGAAACATTCGACGAATTATGATCTTATTCGGTATTGTTATTTTCATCGCATTTTTGATATTAATGGCCAATGTCACGGCGACAATACAACGTTGGTACGAATGGAATCTCGAGAGATCTTATCAGACACGGTTAGTACCCCGATATGAGCACTACTAATATTCGAGAAGAAACAAACTTCTTTAAAGCTATTCTTTTGAATTTTTAATTGGCAAATTATTATGCATACATATTTTAAAACAATTATTCACAAAAGACCGTCATTCAGTTGTTAAGCTCTGGATATAAGTTCAATATTTTAAACATCATAAAATTCACACAATTGGTCGGACTCATTTTTTTAACATGGCTTTCTATGTAAATTACACCATAACATTAATTTTTTTGTCTTTTTCGGCAGTTTTTCTGCAAACAAATATTTTGTACAAAAAAAAGATATACCAATCCTTAAATGATACTTTTGAAATGCGTTATTTTTTCAACACATTTTTGTTTAGATCGAACGCTGATAACCTATCGTAAGGCATACAAACAATGCCAGCTTCAGTCTTATCCGAGTCACGCCCATGTCATCTCACTGACTTTTAAATATTTTGGTCGTTAAATCGAAATGTTTCGATTTAATTTCGGTATGAACAATTGTTTGAATGATACAGAAATCATGTTAGAATTGATGGAACCTTGTAAAACACGATATTGATATGATTGACTAATGACTTTAATTTGTACAAACATTTTGTTATATATGTTTTGCGAAAAATAAATTCTCCTTCCAGAATGAGGACAAATAGTCTGTGCGGGTTATATATCGAGACATATACCATATTGATTAATGTCACTTTTCTCGGTTAACACAATTAATACATGCATGCATGCTTAACACAACACAACACAACACAATAGATTATATCTCACTTTTAATATTATTTTGTAGATACCATGTTACAGGGGATCCTGGAGATTCATTAAATCATATCATGACCACCCATTTGCTTGAGACAGTTCCAAGAAGCGACAACAACGAGTCATTGAATGAGTCGGCAGGTAAGAGTAATGAACAATCTTGCTACCCCATGTTCCCTACTTTGTTTCTCGGTAACCCCCAAATCTACGCTATAGAACCGAATCTTCTTGTACGTTAGTGATAGTTTGTTGTTTGTCATCTCCAAGCTTACTGAAGACAACACACAATTCGGCATACAGGCATTATTTACCTAATTCGTACAAACTATTTAAAGTAGAACAGTCCATTATAAAGACGTATTACATAAATCTTATAAACGACTACATTTGGTAATTGTTGGTACTTTATATTTTTTTCTTCTTCAGAAGATTCGCATAGTCTAGAAGAGATGAAACGTTATGCACATAACTTCTCGTTGCCATGGCATTACAATAGAATTGCTCTAGATGATCTCAGGTAGGAATAACAACATCTTTAATAAATCAAACAATACATGTTAGTTAAGAACAAAACTTATAACGACATTGGATCATTCAGAGACAGGTATTTTGATTTTGACATTTCTTAACGCACCGCAGTCTATGCATTTCGTGTTCGGTATGAGTTCCATTTGACTCGTGCAATACGTGTAAATGGTGCTGCGCAACGACCGTAGCATTTTGGTTAAACTGATCGTCACTAATAATGGGTATGATCACTGGATTTTAGTAATTATTGTACCAGATGTATGTTGAACTTCATTAAACTGCTTAAATTATTTACGAAAGTGTAATTTTTTCTGTTGTAGAAAAGAATTAGAGAACGGAATAGCGGCTTGGGAGGACGCAATTGTTACTCAAGAAAACACAAAGGCCAACACTAGTTTACATTATGCTATCGGAAATGGAAGAACGCCCATCACTCAGAAAATATATAAAATATTGCCAAAGGTGAGTCTCATTTATTTACACTGTCACAAAAACATTTGAAACTGTAAACAAAATTACGCAGGGCTTTCTCAGCTAAATTGACTTCTTGTCTGGTCTTCAGTTGGTAATAGAGGTTCAGGCATAATTAGCCCCCACGGTGCTGTCCCATATTATTTTACATAATCATACACAATGTGTTCTGTATGTATGTTTCGCACCAACTTTAGCGCTTGTTTTCGTTGTCAATTTGTTTATGTCCCATTTGTTGCGGAGCCCCGAAAATTGGAACGGTGTGAAACCATGACTATCTGCAAATAAAAAATAGGTAAAACAATAGATGGATTGGCGCGAATTTCCACGAACCTGCAAATGCACTTTATAGCAACGACGTTTTTTTGTTCTTATTGTCTTTTAATATATTCACTATTTGTAATACACAGAAAAGCCCGTTTACTGTGAACAGGTTCGGGACATGTAGCGTGGTTGGCAATGGAGGCATACTGATAAATGGAAGCTGCGGTAACGTTATTGATAAATCAGAATTTGTATTCAGGTATGATGTAAACGCATTGATAGTGATCGTGATGGGCAGGGTGGTAGTGGTGGTGATGACGTGGGAAGCAGATACAGCACTGTGCAGCTTCATGTGATGTAATAACACATTTATATTCATATGTAGTGCATATACCATTATGTGATGTGTATATATCACTGTATATATCACTATATATATCACTATATATCACTTAAAACTTGTGAAATAGATACACCATTCCGTGTAGGTGTCAAATTTATTGATTACGCCGCCATAATTGTAAGCTTTTAGATGATAGAGGCGGCGACGAGGAGTGGATTCCCACGATGCCAGAAATAATGATATATAATGATTTTTTATGACTGTCAATTTAATCAAGAAAGTGAATACGTCAACTTGGGAAACGTTATTTCTTTACGTTTTGTCGAATCTATGTGACACGATTTCACTCTACGCACGCGAACACGAATCTGTATTAACCCATGTGTGGGTGATGTCGTCTTGAAGCGCGCATTGTATACACCGCATGGTACCCATATCGACCGTGACGCGGACCGCATGGTACCCATATCGACCGTGACGCGGACCGCATGGTACCCATATCGACCGTGACGCGGTGCGACCATACCTGTAATTAAGCTGTCATAACGTAACATAACGTACTGTGTATGTTACAGGTGTAATCTAGCAACGATCGGAGAATATGCACGTGATGTCGGAAGAAAGACCAATCTAACGTCTATCAATAAATTAATTTTACGCCAGAGGTAACTGAACATTTGTTTATATATATATTAGTGAGGTTTTTAGAAATATTTTATTTGATGCGTCAGAATTACAGAGAGAGTCAGTTAAGTGTGAAAACTCTATGGTTTCATTTCGTTTTTTGAGTCAATACATTTATTAACACAATTATAAACACCCATGTATGTCAATTTGCATGTATCTCTTACTGATTCTATTTTCAGATACGGTGGCCTGAAAGGTCAAGAGAATGTATTACAATTTCAGCTGGACATGGCTGAGTATCCTGGGTTACTATGGCTACCAGCGTTTGCCAATCACCAGTGTTTGGAGGACTGCTATCGTGCACGCGAAGAGATCAATTCCGGCGTAAATGAAATAGTTTTCGGGAATCCCAATCATTTTCTACAAGTGTCTAGGTATTGGAGAAAGAAATATAACTTACGGCGTCTTTTGACAACAGGTGAGATACCACATGATGACAAATTACTTATTGATTCTATCGTGTAGTTGCACTATTCACTCTCAGCTGGTGGTGTCATCGCAGAAGGTCTGCGGTTGGTTGCTAAAGTCGATATATGGACATTTCCATTAAAAAAAACTATATACAAATACATGGGTCTGGGACTTATACTTGCACAAAATATTGCAAATTATAGAATTGAAACAGTTTGACAATGTACTGAAGCATATACAATGTACCAACTTTGGCTGGGACAGCAAAGAAAGAATTTGCTGTTCTACAGCTTGAGGGCGTGTATCGTCAAAATGCTTCAATATTAAAAAAAAATATATTCGTATTTTCCAATAGCCCAATTTGGTGCGTGGATAAATAAATTTGTTGTAAACTGTTTCATGTTGAACGAGGATAAGACCTGTATCGATTGATTTTCTGTTCATTTTAAACAAAAGAGCGATCTTTCACTGATTGACAAAATAGATAACACATTTTGCGTAATGGTAAGTAAAATATCCACTGGACCTATCCATAGTTATAGAAGGGGTGGATAGAAGAACACACTGTCGTTTAGTAAGTTGTGTAAAACTAGGTATAAATATCAGTATATTGTAAATAAACACTGATAATATATTCAAGATATACATATAAAAATGTCTGCTTACAAATTTCTGCTTGAAAATTGAGAATTGTCTTTCTGCGGACTAAACATAAGGGGAAGTTTATTGGCTTAAAATATGATTTAGAACGTGTTATATCCAAGATCTCGTTGGGAACGTGGCAGCCACGAAAAGTGTTTGTCACCTAACAGTGTGCCCCCCCCCCCGTCATCGCGTGCATTGTTTCAGAGACACAAAACAAGTCTCGTGTCTCTCTCTCGCTCATAACGAGATCTCGGCGGCAAGTTGCGTTTATAGTTAATAGTACGCATCATCCGTACAATATACCGGCTATTCTATTCATGAAGCGAAAAAAAATATTGAATTTACGTTCAAGTGTAATAATTTCCGGTAATGTTTATTCCAACAGGGTTCTACCTAGTCAACGTCGCTCTGGCTTTGTGTGAAGAAACCCATCTGTTTGGTTTCTGGCCGTTTTTACAAAATCCTAATGAAGAAACACTAAAGTTTCATTACTACGACGACATGCATTTCGAAAAGGCGAAGTTGATTCATTCTTTTCCGATCGAATTTAAAATATTACACGATCTTCACCAGAACGGGGTTCTACAACTGCATGTTGACACATGCTATGATGGCAGGAGGTGACACACATTTAGTTTTGTTTGATTTGATCTAATTTATCACGAAATGATATATAACTTGTAGTGGCGTGGCAAGAGCGCGCCCTCGCGCTTTGGTTTGAAAAGAACACAATATTGACTCGAGCGCTATATTAGGATTTTACGAAGAAACATACTATGGAAAGAAATTGAGTCACGTGACATAGTATATACATATATTTTCGTTGAACTCAGTTTGTTTACAAATTATGTTTACGGAGGTAGAAAATAGAACTACCCGACTACCAAACACCATCACAGAAATACCAACCATACGAATGTTTGGGAAATGTCATAACCAATGATACTCGTCGAGGTCAAGTAGATGCAAAACTGCGTACCACCGACAGTTTAATAAATACTCAGATGCAATTACATAATACATCAAATGGCCTCAGCTGTCACATTGCGCTGATACAAATCCATCACCTTAATCCTCCGTTAAACATTGTGTTACGAGTGAAGCACGCTTTGTTGGGTATCCTGGATGACGATCCTCACTGGATAGCGTAATATTGGTGAAATGAATCATGTTTCTCACATTCTTAATTATCGGAATGATGTACGGCATTTTGTTCCCGAAATCCATTTAAGCGTGTCATATGACATTTCTGTACTTTTTATATAACTTTTTGTGTGTGCATGTAATTGCATTTCATTGCACTATGTATTTTGAGATATTTATTGGATAAAATAAAATTGTAAATGTTACTTCATGTATTTTTTTTCCTAATAGTATGTTCTATTTATGTTGATCATTGATTGAAACTGTAATAATTTGTGACGTTTTACGAGCAACAACGGCCTATGCATATCATTAGTGAGGGGACAATGCATGTATCTAGTTGTTATCATAATATGTCTCGATTGGGTAATTATGCTCATAGGAAGGTACATATACAAACTACTATTGCTTTTGTAATATGCATTGAGAATTAACATTGGAGATAATTGGGCAATGCACTTCTTTATGAATGATAAATGGTGGGTGGCACTGATTACTTCTATGTCCATGCTAATACACATTTTTGAAAATAACAAACAATAATATTGCTGCATGAAATACGGCAATTAACTTCAACTAAATGAAAACTAATACACAGAGCTGCCGAAAACTTCTGAACAAAAATAACTAAAATAGATCAATAATAACCAACCGATATCTGCAGAATAAATCAAGAAAACTACACAAATTTACTCCATTTAGGAATTCCTAACGGTTTGCCTGAACGCACGGCACAGTTGGAGGCGTGGCCTGTTCAGCATTTGTCAACAACCAATCACAAGACTGGTTACGAACCACATCGAGGTCACGACTCGGTTAGCCTTGCTCAACTGGTAAAATGTAGGTAAGGCTTTGGCGAAATTCGAAGGAGCAACTAATATTCTTCAACCTGGTATTTTATTTAGATTTTATTTTTCATTCTTTTCGTCTGTTTTTTCGAGTTTAAAAAATGTTATCTGGCTGGAGCCTTCATCCCTTGTCTATTTCTTACACTAGATACCAGCCGATACCCCCCCCCGCTCATAGAGACTGCGTATTGCAGTTGATTATAGTTTCTGGGTTCCCTGTGAACGTACACGTGTTTGGCCATCATTTAAAATTTTAACCAACTTAACAATAGGTTGTTTGAAATTATTGGTCCAACCGATTAATAGATCTATGTGTAACAATCAAAATAATCTAGATTTAATTAGTAATGTGATTTGGTTGTTTTTTTTCCAAAAGAGACTAAACTTAAAGCAATTGTTCTTTCCAAAATTAGGAAATGACGAAATGTCCAAATATCTATTCCCACAAGCTGATCAACCAAATGATCTTACATTTACCGGCAAAGCACAGACAGTAATCAAATGTGCTCTAACCAGCCAATCTATACAGAAGCGAAATGTGTTTAAAAAACATATCTCGTTTGGCAACCGTTATCATTTTCATCTGAACCTATCAACTGTTAATTAACTAGCTCATACATTGTTCACCGTGAGACTTCCCGCAGCCCTAATGTATATCTGGCAATGTTTTCACTATCTAGTTATTAAGACCTTCATTATAGACAACACCGCCATCACGCGAGTTATATCAAATATAGAACCTTGCTGTTTTTATTTATAATTAATCTATGCGACGTTATGCATATTATTGTAGATAACCCTTGCGTGACACTAAAGCATTTAATTACAAGTGATTGATATAATTTTATAAAAATCATTGTATCTTTGTAATTTACGTACAAAAAAAATATGAAATTTAAGAAAGAATTATTATTAAAAGTGTTATTTGAAATAATATACCCGACTTAAATTTGTACCATCTACAACTAAGCTTGTACTGTTAGCACTTATAGTTTTTACATACAAAATGCTATAATTTCATTTTTGAGCAATTTATGAAAAATACACTTGTGACCTTTTGCAAGATAAAAAATCCCTCCAACGGGGTTAAGATACACAAATACGATTGACCATTTAGTAATGTAAGATTATACAATACTTTTTATAAGGCGTCCAAGAAATAAACAATAGCTATCTCATAAAATAGACTTTTTTTCCTATATGATAATACTTAATTTGTATAATATTTAAACAATAATGAATGACCCGCTGTGAAAAACCTGCTATGTAGTGCTGCTAATTTAAGTGGCTATTTTAGTAACACTGATGACCTGAGGTCACGTTCACCAGGAGCCGAGAACAAACTTCTTATTTATCGATTTTTATGTTGACATTTGTTCCAAAAGTCTAGTTATTATATTAGAGTCTCAATTATTGTTATGAACATTAGCGAAGTTCAAATATGAGAAATAATTCTTAGTTAGAACTTTCGGGTATTCAGAGCGCATTATGAGAGTTGTTATGAACATCGTGACTGAATTATTATCGAACAACAAACATTCAGGATATATCTCATTGT